GGGAAGGTGAGCATCATGGAATGCCAGGTTAATAGAACAAAGTGTTCTTGCATTGAGGGAGTACTTGAGTAGAAGCCCAATGTCCATCTGCTACCTTAATACTAAACCTATAAATATATGTACATAGATCTAGTTCCCCACCGTCATACATAAATATATTTCCATATATACATGCCTATATTTAGACCTCTATAAATGCCATTTGCCACCTAGTTATTTCCTCTATTTCCTTTTACATTCCTCTTGTCCCACTATCATGTTCAGCCTTCATTTTAGGTTTCAGTAATTACTCTTGGTTATGTTGCCCTTGATCAAGCCCTCCCAGGCCTCCTACACCCTCTTCACCATCAATTTTAGATCGCTTGTTGTTTCCTTGTCCCTGGGTTTGTTAACACCCACTTCCTTTCGCCAACCTTCCCCTCTCCCATGTCACCCCAGAACCATCAGTCCTGTTGTTTCCTCCTCCATATTGTTTATCCTGCCTATGTTATCTAGATAGATATGCAGGAATTATAATATGCACAAAAACAAGACAGAGAAAAACAAAGCAACAAAAGAAAACAAAACAACAACAACAACAAAGCTTGTAAATAGTTCAAGGTCTGTTTGTTGACCTTTAGGAGTGTTTTCTGGTTGAGCCTGATGGGGTGACATTCCCTGGACCAAAAGTCTGTTTTTTGGTATTCCCTGGGGACTTCCTTGCTCTGCTCCCCTTGCTGTTCTGTTGCATGCCCTTAGTGCTTTGCCTTGGTATGGTGGGGTCAGATCAGGCAAAATTCTCACACTGTGTCTCCAGTGTTGTCCCCCATAGTGCTATGGGTTGGTGGGGGATGTTGTGTCTTGTAGTGGGGCCAGCCCTATGGTCCTCTCTGTGCGTTGGCTGCTCTGAGCAGGAATATCATCCTCAGGGCTTGGTGGGCAGGATGTGTTCCACTCTCTCTTCCTCCCCTTTCATTTGCTCCTGTGTGCTCTGTTCAGACATGTTTCTCTCCCTGAGCTGTAGCTTCAGTGCTGTCCTCTGAAGTGAATTCTTCTGGGGGGGAGGGAAGCTGACCACGTAGTTGGGACTGGGGCCAGTCCCTCAGACCTCTCTATTGGTTCTCTAAATGCAGGTTTTTATCTGGACACTTTGCTGGTCCCCACAACAGAAATGCATAACATTGAATCCCTCCTCATCTCCCCAAAAGCAGCCATGAAGAGCTCTATCAATGACTACAACTTCCTCATCATTTTATATATTTAGGGACACTGAATGGATGTACAACAGCAAATCTCATTCAATGCATAATGGCTAAGTGATTAGAGTTAGAGCTCCAGTGGTGTGGTGGTTACTCACTGGTCTGCTAACCTCAAGGTCAGCAATTCAAAACCACTAGCCACTTCAAGGGAGAGAGACGAGGCTTTCTACTCCTGTAAAGAGTTACAGTCTCAGAAACTCACAGGGGCAATTCTACTCTGTCCCATAGGGTCACTATAAGTTGATGTCAACTCAATGGCAGCGAATAGTACTTGGTCAGAGTCTGAAGACCTACAATTTCCATACCCAACCCTCCCCCTTCATAGCTGTGTGACCTTGAGCAAATTTACCATTTTCAGGCTCAGTTTCTTCGATTGTAAAAATCAGTCTTAGTGAGCATCCAACTCAAAGAATGAATGCAAAGTGCCTAAGGCACTTTCATCTCTTTCTGTCATCATCATGATCTGTTAGGATTCAGGATGAGGTGCTTGACTCCCACCTGTCTCTTGGCTCTGCCTGTTTACATCTCCCCTCACCTCAAGAATCACCCCAGGGACACCTGGCTCTGCAAGCAATTATGCTGGAAGAGTCAGAGCTGAGTTGGCCTCATTTCATTCAGCGGCAGCCAGCTACTCAGGATTAGCAGACTCCCAAGAGTCTCTCCTTTCCTCAAATGGGAGCTCAGCTTTCTGGGATAGGTCGTCTTCTCTGATCAGATCAACTGCTAAATAGATATTAAACTGTGTCTCAATGTATTCCAAATTTCAAATTTTCAAATCTAAGAAAAAATGTCCTTCTCTTTGTTGTAATTCCCCAGTCCTTGCTGAGGTCTCCCCACTGCTGCCATGCATCCTTCGACAGTGGCAAGATTTTTCTACAGATATTAAGAAGTAAAGCCCACTGCCATAGAGTAGATTCTGACTCGTATTGGCCCTACTGGACAGACTAGAACTGCCCCTGTGAGTTTCCAAAGCTACACGCCTTTACAGGAATAGAAAACTTCATCTTTCTTCTGTGGAGCAGCTGGTGCTTTAGAACCGCTGCCCTTGGTTGGGGTTAACAGCCTAACAACTACACTACTGGGGATTCTGATTAAAAAGTAAATGCATTCACATAGGAAAGGCATGAGTATCTCAGACCTTTGTAAAGCACAAATTTCTAAGGCCTCCTCCCCACCACTTTACCTGGGGCTCCTGGGGAAATCTTGGCACCTGTGGTTATTGAGCATACATTACTCCTCAGTTAATCATAGGCTCATAGAGAGTTTCGGTATGCAGATATATGAATTCATTTGCACCAAGAGTAACCAGGCAGGGCAGCCCAAACACATGGGTGCAGAGCTATTGTACTTGTTTGTGTAATTTGTACACTGCACAATTCCATGAGTACAATCCACACTTTCAGCAACTTTATGGCATGCCCTTGTGCACAGTCTATGTAAATGTTCATGGCAGCCATACCTAGGACATGCTCTCCGATCAGAAGGTGTCTCCTTCCTTTACTCTCGTACTCTGTTGCTGTCATTGTTGTTGTTAGTTGCTTTCTCATTGATTCTAGCACATGGCCACCCTATGTGCCCCAGTAGACTGTCTCCATCGGGTTTTCCAGGTGACAGTCAATGGTGCAGAGCATCCAGCTTTTTGTCCCATGGTTCTGTGAGATGGGTTCAAGCCACCAACCGATACATTTAACAGTTACTTGTAAACCATTTGTACCATCTAGAGACCTAAAAGCCCTGGTGGCACACTGGGTTACGTGTTGGGCTGCTAACCCAAAGGCTGGCGGTCCGGATCCATCAACTGCTCTGCAGAAGACAGGTGAGGCAGTTTGTATCCATAAAGATGGACAGCATCAGAGACCCGAGGGAGCAGCTCTACCCTGTTGTTCGGGTCACTGTGAGTCAGAATCAGCTTGATGGCAGTGGGAGTGAGGGGGGACCTGCTTCTGTTAGTATGTTGTTGCTGATCGGTGCTGTCGAGCTGGGTCAAACCCATGGGACCTAGGCACAGCTGGAGGAACCCCGCCTGGTCCTGAGCCATCCCCATACTGGTTCTCCTGTTGGAGCCCATTGTTGTCCATCTTATTGAGGGTCTTCCTCTTTATCTCTGCCCTCTACTTTCTCTGCTTTCCCAAGCATGATGTCCTTTCCCAGGGACAGGTCTCTCTCAACAGCATGTCCAAAATCTGTGAGACCAAGTCCTCCCCATCCTTGCTTCTCAGGCACGTTCTGACGACTTCTTCCAAGATAGATTTGCTTGTTCTTTGGCAGTCCATGGTACCTTCAGTGCTCTGCGCCAGCACCCTAATACAAACACATCAATTCTTCTTCAATCTTCCTTAATCAATGACCAACTTTATCATGCAGAAGAGGAGACTGAAAATACCATGACTCGGGTCAGATGCACCTGACTATTCAAAGAGTACTACTTACCCTGGGCGCCATGATGTGAAGAAGTTTGGGATACACTCATCTAAATCGCCTCAGAGCTACATCTCCCTCCCTCCAGTGTGCACTTACCCCCCAGCCAGCCAGTCATGTCCCCCAGACCCCTCTTCCAGTCGGCGTTGATGATGTCTTTCCAACCAGCCCCATTGTGTTCCCCTAGGTCCACGGAAGGAACCTCTTGTCCATCGACTATGACCGGAACATACGCACAGAAAAGATCTACGATGACCACCGGAAGTTCACCCTGAGGATCATCTATGACCAGGTGGGCCGCCCCTTCCTCTGGCTGCCCAGCAGTGGCTTGGCGGCCGTCAACGTCTCGTACTTCTTCAACGGGCGCTTGGCAGGCCTGCAGCGCGGGGCCATGAGCGAGAGGACCGACATCGACAAGCAAGGGCGGATCGTGTCCCGCATGTTTGCCGATGGGAAAGTGTGGAGCTACTCTTACCTCGACAAGGTGGGTGAATGCGCCTCCCCGTCCACCCGAGGCCTGCCATGAGTCATGCCACGCTCTGCAAGCCGGCCTGGTTCTCTGCACCACGACATAGTTTAACATCTTTTCTTTGGCTCCACGAGGGCTCCCCTCACACTCCCGCCCTCCCTGGCATAGAGTGAATCTGAAGGAAGCTGTTATTCATAGCTCAGCACTATTACCACTAAAAGAAAGGGCGGGGGAGTGCTAGACACAGTAATGGCAAAAAGGATGGATTGTCTGATTTTCTAAAAAGAAAAAAAAAAAAAGAAATGCCGTTGCAGTGGATGGATTCATCCCACTGGCTGTGAGCTAATCATTACTTATGAATTGGAACTGTGCGACTCATTCCTGCCTTGCCCTAAATTAAGCCATGAGGGTAGGGAATTCTGTCTAAACCCCCAGCTCACAGAGCGACACCCTCCTACTTGGCCTATTGGCTGGAGCAACCAACACAGCCTCTCTACATCATTCCCCGGCCCTAGAGTGCCACACGCCGGGCTCCGTGCCGGTAAGGTCAGGCTGGGGCAGCGGTAAGAAGAGGTCCCTCTCGGGCATGTGTCAAGACTGTGGAAGGCTGCCCTGGTCATCTAGTCATTAGTGCGGGGCTTGCTCAGCCTGTGCCTCTCACCCAGACTCCCCTGGACGCAGGTCTGTGGCCTGCCTCCTGTGCCCCTCATTACAGCGGTGACGTGCAGAGCTGTTATCTGTGTCTGAGGCCCTCGGCCCTCCCCCAGTACTGTTCTCATTACACCGTCAAAACGGGACTGGCTGACCCGGGAGGCAGGAATCGCCCTCTTCATAAGGCCACTGGTTCCACCCCCAAGCGAATCTGTTATTCTGGCTCCTTTCCCTCTCCATAGCTTCTCAGTGGAGCCGGTGCTTACTCTTTAGATGGAGCTGACGCAGTCTGGGTGTCGCTCCACCTGCTGCGCTGGTGGCAGCCACTTCTGAACAACTGCAGCAGCTAGATGGCAAGCTCAGTGTCGCCCACCCCAGCCCTCTCCAGGTGCCGTCGGATAACACTGTCTCTGCTGGGAGCTTTCCTTTGGGAATGCAGCTGCCCGGGCCCGCGCCCAGCCCTGCCGAATGAGCGTCTGCATGTTCATCAGATCCCTGGGTGTTTCGCCTGCATGGGAGAGTCTAGAGAGCATGGTCCGAGGCAACCACAATGAAGCGGTTAGGGTTGGCACGGCAGACCATGCAAATCTACTTGTAGTTTCTGGTCTAAGCTTCCCCATCCTTCGGGGCTTTGAGGTGATAGGTGGGGAGCTGGGACACATCTCTGTCAACCTGAGTGCTCTGGAGGCAACTCACATGTCCCCTCCCTTTCCTTCCTCCAGTCTATGGTGCTCCTGCTTCAGAGTCAGCGTCAGTACATATTCGAGTACGACTCCTCAGACCGTCTCCATGCCGTGACCATGCCCAGCGTCGCCCGGCACAGCATGTCCACCCACACCTCCGTTGGCTACATCCGCAACATCTACAACCCTCCGGAAAGCAACGCCTCTGTCATCTTCGACTACAGTGACGATGGCCGGATCCTCAAGACGTCCTTTTTGGGCACCGGGCGCCAGGTGTTCTACAAGTATGGGAAGCTTTCCAAGTTATCGGAGATCGTCTACGACAGTACTGCCATCACTTTCGGGTACGATGAGACCACCGGCGTTTTGAAGATGGTCAACCTCCAAAGTGGGGGCTTCTCCTGCACCATTCGGTATCGGAAGATCGGCCCACTTGTGGACAAGCAGATCTACAGGTTCTCTGAGGAAGGCATGGTCAACGCCCGGTTTGACTATACCTATCATGACAACAGCTTCCGGATCGCAAGCATCAAGCCTGTCATAAGTGAGACCCCACTTCCTGTTGACCTCTACCGTTACGATGAGATTTCTGGCAAGGTGGAGCACTTTGGAAAGTTTGGGGTCATCTACTATGACATAAACCAGATCATCACCACTGCTGTGATGACCCTCAGCAAGCACTTTGATACCCACGGGCGGATCAAGGAAGTCCAGTATGAAATGTTCCGGTCCCTCATGTACTGGATGACTGTCCAGTATGATAGTATGGGAAGGGTCATCAAGAGGGAACTCAAACTGGGGCCGTACGCGAACACCACCAAGTACACCTATGACTATGATGGCGATGGGCAGCTCCAGAGCGTGGCTGTCAATGACCGCCCAACCTGGCGCTACAGCTACGACCTCAACGGGAACCTCCACTTGCTGAATCCAGGCAACAGCGTGCGCCTCATGCCCTTGCGCTACGACCTCCGGGACCGGATCACCAGACTCGGAGACGTGCAGTACAAAATTGACGATGATGGCTACCTGTGCCAGCGGGGCGCTGACATCTTCGAGTACAACTCCAAGGGCCTCCTCACGCGAGCTTACAACAAGGCCAGCGGCTGGAGCGTCCAGTACCGCTACGACGGCGTTGGTCGACGGGCTTCCTATAAGACCAACCTGGGTCACCACCTGCAGTACTTCTACTCTGACCTCCACAACCCAACACGCATCACCCACGTCTACAACCACTCCAACTCCGAGATCACATCGCTCTACTATGACCTCCAGGGCCACCTCTTCGCCATGGAGAGCAGCAGTGGGGAAGAGTACTATGTAGCCTCGGACAACACAGGGACCCCGCTGGCGGTGTTCAGCATCAATGGGCTCATGATCAAGCAGTTGCAGTATACGGCCTATGGGGAGATTTATTATGACTCTAACCCTGACTTCCAGATGGTCATTGGCTTCCACGGGGGTCTCTACGATCCCCTGACCAAGCTGGTCCACTTTACTCAGCGGGATTATGACGTGCTGGCGGGAAGGTGGACCTCTCCAGACTACACCATGTGGAAAAACGTAGGCAAGGAGCCGGCCCCCTTTAACCTGTATATGTTCAAGAGCAACAATCCTCTGAGCAATGAGCTGGATTTGAAGAACTACGTGACAGGTGAGGCCTTGGCTGCCACATTGGTATGGCAGTGACTCCCCGTGGGGTGGTGGTCCTGGTAGACGTTGTTGGGAACATTGAAAGATCTTGAATCTGATGACAGGAGCGTTCTGGAGAGCTGTGCATATGAGCTGTGCACATGACAGCTTTACAGTGTAGGGCAGTCACCAGCCCTGTCTTAAGATGCCCACTGAAGTCCATTCAGTTGACCCAACTGTTATAAAATCCCACCCTACCCCAAGCAAAGAAAATAGGCTTATTGAGAGGAAAATCATTAGGTTCTGGAAGCCAAAATATCTGGCTGAAATCCTCTTTCTTCCATTTATAGGTCAAAGGACCCTGGACTAAGTGTCTACCCTCTGTGAATTAATTCCCCTCCTCTGTGGAATGACACTAACAAGATCCCCCCCACAAACTCCCCCACCTCCATCCTCACCACCACCACCCCACACACAGAGTGATAGTGAGGAGTAGATGAGTTTATAGAAGTAAAGAGAATAGGGTTTGCTTCTGTGATTCCCAATACCATTACTATTTAACAATGAGTGAGCACAGGTACTGAGAGGGCTAGAACCCAGTGGCTTAACCGCCAGGACTCCCAGTCAGGCTGGCAAGACAGATATACAAATTACCAATAATAATGCAAAGCAGATTTGAAGCTGTGCTTCCATATACTATATTTTTACACAAATAATACACGTGTTATATCACTTTCGTCACCACATCCTCTCCTTCCCTCCCACAAGGTATTTTTGTAAGTGTGCTATGCTAATTATTTTCACAGTAATGGGCATCTGTTCATGTATTTATTCCACAAGCACTTACATAGCATGGCACCGTGTAAGCCTCTGGGGATATAATGGTGAAGAAGACGTTCTTCCTCAAGGAGGGTGTTTGTGTGTGTGTGTGTGTGTGTGTGTGTGTGTGTGTAGAGGAATTCAACTTTGGAAATGTTTACACAGAATCCAAGGGCCCCCTTAAAGGGTTGTGGGATCTCGGTTGGAAGAAGTTGGGTTCAAGGTGTAAGGAAGAGAAGCAGACATCAGAATCTGGAGGCTACACAGAGGGAGGGGCCACAGGAGTTAGATGACCTATGACCCACTAGAAATTGATGAAGCAGAGTGCCCACCCACCCATACAGGTAACAAATAGTTGCAGAGCATCTGGTGTGTACTAAATACCAAATAGTAGGGATGTAGTAGCAAGAGAAAGCCCCTGTGCTCAGAGAACTAAGCAAGGAAATCAGAAGGGGGGAAATATGGTGTTTAATTTCTATAATACCCAACTTCCACAGGGCCCTCTTGCCTATCCACTGTGAAGATTGTGACCATGGGAACCCAGAGCCAGGGTTCCCATGTTCCAGAAAACTCACAGCTCCTGGTCATGGGCCAGAGAGTCATCAAGCCCAGAGGGCCTCTCCCTCAGGTGGCCAGGAAGCTGCTTGTCCATCCCCAGAGCAGAGACAGCAGCCTCCTGGAACACAGAACTGCCCTCATTGGCCATCTTAAAGATGGGCGTGGAGCCTCCTTGGCAAGGTCACACCCTTGGAAGCTGAACCCAGCATTCCCATTCAGCAGGAGGAGTCCAGCAGCTACAGCATTCCCTCCTTTGGGCTGCCAGCCAGAGCCTCGGCCTTTCCCAGTGGTTCACCGTGACCCTTGTTTCAAATGTAAGCTCCTCTCCAAAAAAGATTGTGGAAATACAGAGATAGTTAGATATAGATGCACTTACACACACCAGGGGGCTTCCAAAAGTTCATGGGGAAAAAATCCATGATCTTTTTGCTAAATTTATACACAAACTTTTTGGATCCATATATGTATGAACCCTGGTGATGTAATGGGTTATATGTTGGGCTGCTAACTACAAGGTCAGCAGTTCTAAACCACCAGCCACTCTATGGAAGAAAGATGAGGCTTTCGGCTTCCATTAAAAATTCACAGCCTGGGGCCCTCGGGCTGTGCTACTCTGTCCTATAGGGTCCCTATGAGTCAGAGCCGACTCAAGGGCGGTAACTTTGAGGGAGTTGTTTATATAATTCAGAATACTTAGGGCAGAAAGCGGCCTGGTAAGGAAAAGTCAAATATTTTTTATTAACAGGGGTAACAGAAAACTAGGAAGGTGGGAAAAAAAAGTCATTGTCATCCAGTGCTTGCTGTCACAGGTTTCACTGTGTGTCCACAGTGTATGCGGACCTTTATCTCTGTGCACCTGGTGTTGACAGTTTTATTGGCATATACTTCACATGTCACACAACTTAGCCATTCAATCATATTAAGAGGGTCTGTGCGATCATCACCACAACCCATTCCAGAGCATTTTCTTCCTGCCCTCATTGTTGTGAGCTCTCCATTCCCCACCCTCCCCTGCCAGGCCCCGAGGCCATCAGCAATCCAGTTACTGTCTCTATAGATGGACCTGGCCTGGATTTTATATACAGAAAGATCATACAAAACACAAACAGGAAGTCAATAAAGAAAAAACAACAATGCCTACACAAAACATAGGAGAAAACCTCGGTCAAGGAGAAAACAGAAATAATTTTTAAATGGGTCAAAAGGGTGATCAAATAAGGTGTTACACTTTAATCTAACTATATGTGCTGCAATCGAATTTATAATGCTCTCTGCCTGATAGTAAGGCGAATTCACACACAGACACACACACACACACACACACACACACACCGCCCCTCTAGACTATGGTCAGAGGGGATTTGCTGAAGGCTTAATCCATGTGGGGACCCTACAAATGAATTTTGGGTTTTCACTGTCATTCAAAACCTTTTCCAAATTGGGAATTCAGAATTTAAGCTCTGATACCATTCCTTTTTTGGATTTCGGTTTTATTATTTACAATCCTTAGATCACACTGGATGGTGTGTTACTTCCATGTAGACTTTTTTGATAGCTCACTTAGATGGCTGCTTGTTTGAAGACAGGCCTTTAAGACCCGGATGGTATTCTTTCTAAAAGCTGAGCACCATCTAGTTTCTTCATCACACTTTGATATAGCACCCATATCTTCAGTGATCTCTTCATGAGGGCGGCATCAAGCAGAGCTATGTCATAAGAACTAATTGTTCTTAGATTGGAGCTAGTTGTGCGAAGTCAAAAATCTACTAATATAGCTATGGTTTATATATGTTTCTGGTCCACTTTAGAGACACCATCGGCATCTGCTTTTATTATGACGATATACAAGTTGGCATCAAGTTAACTCCTATCCATGGCAACCCATGGGTGTCAGAATAGAACCGTGCTCCTTAGGATTTCCAGTGCCTGACTTTGCAGAAGTAGTTGCCACTCCTTTTATCCAAGGTGCCTCTGAGTGGACTCCAACCTTTGACTTTCTGGTTAGCATGAGCATGTTAACCACTTACACCACTCAGACTCCATTATATACACACACACCCACATACAATGCACATACATGTGCACATATACATAGGGGCCCTGGTGGCATAGTGGTTATGAGTTGGGCTACTAAGTGCAAAGCCAGCAGAACGAAACCACCAGCTGCATCCCAGCCGAAAGACAGGGCCTTCTAATCCCATGAAGAGTCGTAGTCCCAGAGACTCACAGGACAATTCTGTTGTATCCTACAGGACAGTGGTTCTCAACCTGTGGGTCACAACCCCTTTGGGAGTCAAATGACCCTTTCACAGGGGTTTCCCGATTCATAACAGTAGCAAAATTACAGTTATGAAGTAGCAACAAAAATAATTTTATGGTTGAGGAGTCACCACAA